ATATTAATAGCCCCACTACCGAAAAACGTGACGTTATGCACTTCACGATCTGTCTTTTTTTTATTTTATTTTTTTTTTTTTTTTAACATATTTTAAACGATTACACTCGAAAAAAAAAAAAAAGAAAGGTCGGCAAAATAGACGAGGAGAGCAATGCTCACGTAAAAAAACCCCCTGTGTTGCCCAATCTCGCGGTGATGGCTCCGGGACGAGGCCCATCAACGCTGCCCCGTAGGTGCCCGAATCGCCCCTTCCTTCCTTCCGCTCGGCGGAGGTATCCATTCGCGCTAGAAAACAAAGGGAGAATCGGAGGCGCACGTAATGGGTGTGCTTGCATGTAGTCCTGCGCAGACCACCCTCCCAGCCCCTCCGAGCGGGCGCACAACGTGTGTGTGGGAGGTAGGAGAGGGGGAAAAAAAAAACAACCAACCTCTCGCTCTACTCGTGTGCACGTATCGGTGTGCCCTCCTCTTCCGCGCAGTGGCGCGCCAGCTGCCAGCAGTGCGCCTCGCGACGCCCCGGGCGTAGCACGTATAGGCGGACGAGTACACGTTGCCGAGCGCGGGCTTTGTTAATTTTTTTCGGTCCTCTCATTCCGCAACGATCGTTACAGCGTACCCTTTGATGACTAACTACTTGTAAGAGCAGAAAAAAAAAAACGAAAAAGAAGGAGTAAGTAGTTCGGGGAAGGGGGGGGGGCAAAAGCAGGGGCCCGGCGTCTTTGGTCGAGATAATGGGGCCCGATGGGCGGCAGTGGCGCTGGACACTTCCGCGTGACCCTGTCGCTGCGCCGGGAGCCCAACGCTCGGCCGGTTTACTGCAAAATGGAGACATCGAGCAAATTCCGGCAGCTGAAGACCGTGAAGCTAAGCGCCGAGGCGACCTACAGGCTCGACATAAGCTTCAAGCCGCCCCGGGTCCTGCAGTGCGTATACAATCACACAACCACAGGCTGTTATTTTACACACGTTTTTACATTTTAGCATTTTTTTTTTTTTTTTTTTTATCTCATCTGCATGCCCTATACATGTATCATCTTCCGTATGCAACCCCCCGCGGCGTGCGCCTCTCTCCGTATATTTATCGGCTGCTTAGCTTGCAACTTGCATGTTTGGTGCAACTATGCTAATTGCATACAAATACAGTTACCTGCTGATACTGCATATAGTCGTCTATTACGTGCCAAAGCTATACACACGTCGAGGTTGATGCGAATATTTACACACGTGTATATTATAAGTACCGTGGCTGTGGGGACGCGCACCACGTGCTTCTCCGTATTTACGTGTACTAATCAACTTATATTATACCTTTGGCAATCTGATGTGGTTGTACGAATATGGGGGTGACGATGATGACAGGATTACCCGCGTAATTAAACCATCTACGATCGAAATTGTTGAGATTTTATGCAAAAGTAGTGAGATTCAGCTCTTTTTTTTTCATGTATCATTAAACGATTTTATCGCAAAGAAAAAAAAAAGAAGGACTGTATTTAACGATGTGAAACAGCACACGAGGTAACAAACGAGGGGTAATTACACGCCAATCGATAAAAAAAATTTTGTTTTACATTAAAAGAGTCACGCTCACTTACACGTATACCTGTACAAATCACAGCGAAAGATAACGTGCATTAAAAAAACAACGAATAAGTACTACACGCGGACACGAGTAAATAATAATAATAATAATAATGATAAAAAAAAAAACATGCTGAATTTCTTATGTCACCGTGAGAAAGAGCTGCGCTTACATGCGTATTATTATAGTAGTCGGGCATGGCAAAAGTTAAATTATACAACGTAGCCTCTTGTTCTCGCAACGAAAACAAATGAAACGCACGGACACAAGTAAGTATCCAAGACTGAAAAAAAAAAAAATAAATAATAAATAAATAAACATAA